TCCAAATCCCTGAACATGGTTTCCCAATCTTGGGTGTACCCCAATGCCTTCACCCACCCTGTGTTCCTTGCTCAAGCCCTTGACTTATTCTCCTTGGCCCAGGTGCCAGGGCTGGCTCAGGGCTTGGGTACTGCAGAGGAGACCTGAGCAGGGCCAAAGCCATGAGTGAAGACAATCACCTACTGGGCAGTAATTGCCTGAGTAGGCAAGCACCTCGAGGCAGGCAGAGTTGGGTATTGCCCTTGTTTTGAAGCAGCCTGTAAAGCAGCCTAGAAAACAGCTCTAACCAACCTATTCAGGTCATAGTCTCTCTTGGTGCAGTTAATTACACCTTTCAAAGCAGAACAGAGTCAGCCAAAGGGACTAAGAGCCCCACTTGCACCCCAGAAAAGATGTTAACCAGAGAACTAAAGCAGTTGCAGAGAAGGGAACTGTGAATTCTTTTTGTGAAGAAAAAGGAATTGTGCCCACAGGCGGCTGGCATAGCTAGCATTAAATCATCAGTGAGCAGAAGGCATTGAGGGCTCCTTCTCCACACATGCCACAAGAACACTCACCTTGCCAGGGAAGCAGAAGTGCTCATGATTTCTAGCACCCTGAGGCATCAGACCAGACTGTCACCTAGTCCCATCACCACCAGCACTGAGGTTCTGTGTGAGCCAGGAACTATTTGACACTGAAAGATCTACAGAACAGCATCGAAGGAAGTCAGCAGCTCTGCATGGGCTGCAGAGGAGTTTGAAGGAACTTTTGGAATCAGGCTCAGTTCCTCAAGGGTACTTAGATACTAACCCAAATTATTTACAATCGAGATAGTGGCCTGCAGATTTTTCAAGATCTTAGCCCTTTGGGCTTTAGACCAGCTAAAAGAGTCTAAGAGAAGTTAAGTAGTCACTCAATGCATTCAGGTCAGCTGCTTACCAGGTGGGACAGAGTTCCAGCCCTGGTCTCACCCTAGAGCAGCAGTAGCTCAGGTTGTCTCTGCCTGTTCAACCCTGCAAGGGCAGCCTTTACCCTGGCCACAGTTTCAGTCCATGAAAACTGACTGTGAGGGTGCAGCAGCACTGAGGGGAAACCCCAGAGATATCTTTGACCTTTGCTATCTAGACAGAAAACACTTCAAGTAGGAATGCATTTACCCTACTAATGCTAAAACAGTTCCATTATAATGACAAGCATGATGTTTCATCAAAATTCTTATGAGATTTATATCTGCTGTAGCTTTCCTTTGGATAGAAGTTGGATATAAAACAAGCATATGTTTCTTGTTACAGTGCTGCAAAAAATCCCTTGTTTCTGGGTCAACCAATTCAAAATTTAAAGAAATCTGTCTGCCATAACAAACATGATCTTCAGCAATCAAAGCTATTCTTGTATTTCACTAGGTATTTAACAAAAGAACTTCAAATGAGGCCTGGGTTCACTTAAAAGTGATGAAAATTATTTCAAGCTAAAACTGTCATCAAAGTGCAGGATTAGCAATATCAACTCTGATTCCTAATTTGACACAAGTAATTTAGATGTGCTGAGGATGTTGGGAACTCAAATTATAAAAAGACCTCAGTAATTTATGGAATCTGAATAGATTTTATATCCAAAGAACTAAATTAATGAAGATCAAGCTTTCAAAGTCAAGTTAGGAAATGCAAGATGTGCCATTGCCTTGTGTATTATATGACCTTAAATTGCAGGTTCACGTTTCTCCCAGCAGGAAGCCCTCTCTCATTCAGGAATTCCTTTCTATCCTCTTCAGCACACAGCTCAACCTTGCTTTCTGCACTCCACACAGGCCACAAACGTATCAGCTTCTTTATAAGTATTTCTGCACTTACTATCACAGGAATAAGGGCTGACAGGTCTGTTCCAAATCTGTGAGAATCCCTGGGAGATTTGCTCCTGGCACTACCACCTGTAGTACCCACTGTGAGTATGGATCAGTCTTGACACTTTCACCTAGTATTTTCAGAACAGATCTACTGAACCTGGACATAGATGGGATTACTCTGCACCTCTGCAGACATACTCCCAGGCACCATATATTAAGCACTTAGCAAAATATTGAGTGGGTTTCTGTGAGCCAAGTGTCTTGCTCAGTGTTGCAGAAAAACCTTGTGACAGCAGCAGAAAGAAAATCCAGCTCTCCAAAACAGAATGATCTTTCCTTCATCATCAGACTATCTTCTCACCTCTAGGATTTAGTGTTATCAAGTTTTTCTTTAAAATTAGGCCATTTTGCAGAGAGCAAGCTCACAGCTGCAGTCCTGGATCGTTCACAGAGGAGCATACAGCCTGCACAAGGGATATGGCAGGATCCCAGAGCACTGCACAGGTGAGATGGAAGCATTACAAGGGAATTACAGATTTCAAAATCCCTAATTTTTCAAGTCCAGTCCTTCTCATCCCACTTATTTTTAAGGATAAATGCAAGGATTCAAAAATAGGAATCGCACCGACCCTTCAACTTGTCACCAGCAGGATTTGGATCCTGCTAGTAGCTCAGTGTGCAGAGAGAGGAATGCCAGAGGGTGAAATAGGAAGCGTCTTCCAAGTTACTCATCAATTAGCCAGCAACACAAACAGCCAAATCCCACATCACCTATTCCAGGTCAGAGCTTACAGACTCCAACACAACGCTGCTACAGCTCCTTGTTCCCAGGCAACGATAGCCCTCCTACACTCTTCTCCTTCCTCTCCATTTCCCACTGTTTAGATTCTCCTAAACATCTCAAAGAATATACACAGATCTCTGCCAAATGATGACAAAAACATTTTCCTAAAAACATTCTAAGACACAGTTAAACAGTATTCATTGAACTTTAAAAAATATTTCATTGCAAAAGTTAAAAATGATCAATCCAAGTCAGAAGCATCTGAAAACACATCTAAATGAAAGCTGTCAAACAACCTCAGCCTCAGTGAACAGGCAAGCTCTTAACACTGCTTCCTTCTCATTCCTTCCCTCAAACTGCTATAAAGACCACTTGGAAAGACTCTTCAGCCTGGAGAAGAGAAGGCTCCAGGGAGACCTTATTGCAGCCTTCCATTACCTAAAGGGGGCCTAAAAGAAAGCTGGGGAAGGGCTTTTTGCAAGAAGTTGTAGCAAGAGGACGAGGGATAACGGCTTCAAACTGTAAAAGGGTAGATTTAGATTAGGTGTTAGGAAGAAGTTCTTCACTATGAGAATGGTGAGACACTGGAACAGGTTGCCCGGAGAAGTTGTGGATACTCCACCACTGGAAATGTTCAAGGCCAGGTTGGGTAGGGCTTTGATCAACCTGGTCTAGTGGGAAGTGTCCCTGCCCATGGCAGGGGGATTGGAACTAGATGATTTCTAAGATCCTTTGCAACCCAAACCATTCTATGATTAACCTCTGCTAATTGCCTCTGAGTGTGAAGAGGTCAGTGATTTCAGGTGTGCTAGGCCAACTGGAACATGGCTGCTTTGCACTCCACTCAAAGGTCTGCCTATTTTTCAATGCCTGATGCTAACAAAACCCTTTTCTCTAAATCAAGTAATTTTTGAGACTTTTGAACCACATTAAACTTAATTTAAACCTATGGCCAAGTAAGCAGACGCCATCTTCCCATAAAACCCTAGCTTTTGGCAAAGTTTGACCAGCCACATCTTTAAAATTTTATTTCCACGAGATAATTAAGTCTTATAATATTCTAACAGATAATAGTTCTAATAGCAGTAGAAAAAAATAAGTATCCTAACAATTTCATAAACAGTAGTGTGAAACTTCAGGCCCCATTTGTCTCTTGGAAGAAAATTAGGTTCTAAAAAATACATGAAACTAGGTATGCTGCAATGATAAGAATTTACTATAGGGAATGAAAGAAAACTCACATTCTTAAAATAATCCATAGAGATTTAAGGAATATTGGTGATGCAGATAATTTTACAGCATTTTCTTTTACCAGATCAGGCTATGAAGTTCTGAAACTATTTCACCCATCCGACACACGTAAGCCACTGAATCCATCCTACAGCAGCAAGCAGGTGAAGGTTGACAACAGTGATGGGCAAAGCTTAAAGTTTACATTCCAACATCTAATCCAATATTGTATTTATTGGGTCATACCAGTTTAAAACTAAGTTTTCAAACACTTTGTTCCATATTTATGTTGGTTTTTTTTTTTTTTTTCCTAAGCTGCTCTGGCTTTTAGTCAATGAATTTTTGCATTTGGTAGACAAGATTGTGTACTTCACACAGATGGCTATGTTCAGCTTTGAATTTCACATGTAATATCAAAATCTGTCTTAAATTAACATCATCATTAAACTATGGAGGTCTAAACTCAAGGTCTTCAGCCAACAAGGGTCAGTATTTTCTGGATACAACTGAATTCATTCTGTTTTTAAGCAGAGTCTGAATTCCACATGTATCTCTACTGTTACTGAGTCTGGTGGTTTAAAATACTTGATACCAATCACTGTAAACAACAGCATGCTTCAGGCTGCAAAAAAAATACATGAGAAGTTATTTATGCCGCCAAAAGCACATCAGCATAGCAATTTTACCCTTTAAAAGGATAAAAAGCCTCAAGACCTTGAAGTGAGAGTCATTACAGTTTGTATGAATACAGTGTTTTAAGCATTAACATTGTGTATAAAACTAGTGAAACATTTCCCAATTTTATGCTTAAGGAATAATCTTTATCTTCTATTGAGGTAATGCATATGTGCTTAGATGCACAGAACATTACATCCATGATGCCACTGTGACATCAAGCACTGGGCCGGTATTATTTCCTTTATCACTTCTCCCTGGAGACAAGCAACCTCTTTGCATTTAAGAGAGCAACTAGTACCAACAGCCTCATGTGTTTCTCACCTAACCCTGTAAGTGTGGAAAACAGCTGGACTATGGAAAGAGTAAGAATCAGCAAGCCGGAATGAGGAGCGCACACCACTAAGCTAACACGTAATGTATAAGCTCAGAGGAAAAAGCTGAACTGCAGCTTGTTAACATTTACAAAGAACCCTCCCAAGCAGGTTTTATACTTTGACATGTTTATTTTAGTTGGATGAACAGATTCAATGAGCAAGGTGAAACTCAGCCTCACATTTGCCTCCCTGTAGATTCCTATAAGCAAATGTTTGAAAACATCAGAAATCTGTGGATATTTGCATGAAGTAGTTCAATAATTATTTCTTGTTCCATGCTTCTCTTTCATGTCTTTCACGGATTACTTCTTTTAGGTACGGTTCAAGATAATGCTTATCCTGAAAAAGAAGAGAACATATTTAACTTGAGGAGGTCCAGAAATGTCTCAAGCCGTTCCTACAGATTACTCAACTCTCACTCCTTCTCAGATTTGACTAAAACCCGAGCTAACAAGAGAGAAAAAGCAATCAAACATTACTTACTCTGAAAGGCAAACTTTCTATCTGCCAAACCTGCAATGACAAGTTCTTTACTGCAGCAACCACTAATTCCTAATGCTTTGCCAACATTAACAAGCAAAATGACGCTTCCAGCTGTACCTTTGGAAACAACGTCCTTTTGGCAGACACTCAAAGGCACAAGATCCACCTTAATTACTTTGAAGTCCAAACATAATACTCTGGAGAAACTAATTTTGAGCTTCTTAACAGCACTGTAAATTTGGATTTGACAGAACACCTTAACTGTCTTGAATGCATACAAACCAAACTGCTGCTAAAGCAACAACCACCAGTTCTTCAATGCAGCAGTTACCTAAACATGACCAATGAGACCACAAGAAGCAGTCTCTGCTTATACAGAGAAATACAATATACCCTTATACTATCCTATAGTCAAAAAGTTTAGTGGCAAGATTCTTCCCCACCTGGTAATTTGGAGAAAGCTGAGGTGGACAGCAATGCAAAGTCTGTTAATCAATCCATTACCAAAAAAAAAAAAAAAATGAAGTTACAAACACTGTTTTTCAAATTACAAGACTTTCAGGTTTTAATGCAAGGTTTCCCATTACTCTTCCTTGACCATCTTTACAAATAAAGTTTTGGATCAAGATTTTCTATTAAATTAAGAAATTAATCAGAAAAGCGAGAGACCTTCTGTAAAAATCCCCAAGCTGGCTACAGTGAATTTCTTCATCTGATAGTTCAGAAGTATTTTGTCCGAATACAAAAAAATGCTATGGCTCAAAGATGTAGTTTAAACTTCTGTGATCTTGAGAAAAAAAAATTTGGAATTTCCACTGAAAAAAACAGATTTTGAAGCTGCAATCAAAATCTGTGTTTTCCAGAGGTATCCTACAAGATTCACACTCCTTGTTAACAACATGCAAGTGTGTATCTCTTCGGAGACTGAAAATGACAGAGACCAGCTGCAGCAGTGCCATGCAAGACCTCCACCCTGGACACACTCCATACACATACCTCCTCATACTTCACCCACTGGTCTTTTGGAAGGATCTGATGTTTCAAGCTTAAGTCGAGTGCTCGCTTTATGCGAAACATTCTTTCATTGTAAAGATGTTCTGGAAGTCTCTTCAGTGCTTCTTTTACATCATCATCTTCATACAACGTATCATCACGCATTAACCCTGTTCCAAGAAGACTTTACAGTATCACTGAATGTTCTTAATCAAGATTCAGGATTGACACAGATGTTTCTAGGTAATGTGGGCAAAATATTTCCAGTGCAAAATTATGAAGAAAACCCAAACCAATCTAGGAGAAGAAAACCACTAATTGCTCACAGCAAATGAACTCTAGCCACTGCCTTACACATACTCTATTCACTTAGGTTTACTCCTTTTCTTAAGGAGGAATAGGGAAAATAGGTATTTAATTCCATGTGTTTTCTAAGAATATATATACAGGACAGGAACTATTCTAGATCTGAGGGGTGGATTTACCTAATCTTATACCTGTTTTGAAGGTGACTGTCTAGGCAAAGGGCTTAAGTGCTCTGAATCCATTAGTCAATCAAGCACAGAGGTGACTATTTCAGTACAAGAATTCTTCTCTAAACAGTATGATGCATAACGACTAGATCTCCATTGACTATGTTAAGTTACAAAAACCTGAAGCTGCACATTTGTGAGAATGTTAGTTCCCTTCCATACCACCCCGAATCAGAAGTTAAGCAAAGGAGAAGTGCCTCACCTTCTCAAAGCCAAGAATACTCCCACACTGTTGGAGGAACAAAGGATTCCCAAAATTCAACTGACTCTGCTTTAAGTTTTGGTATTAACAATATAAAACACAACTTTACTTCTGTAGCATTCCAAGATTGGTGCACATCACAAGAATATACCTGCTGACTTGTGCTTAAATGGTTTTGATCTCATGTGACTGAGTTGTCAGTAGTCTTCCAATAAAACCAAAATTTCTTTTGAGCCACTTTCTTGAATTTGTTTTTGTGATCTATTTCGAAGGCTGATAGTTTAATCACTAGAATAAATTTAGTGTTTCTCCTCAGCTTTTAGTCAAACACGCAGAAAAGCAAGAAAAAGTATTAATGTCTTTAAAAATCTCGGCAGGCAAATATAAAAAGAGGGGCTAAGCACTGCATCTCTGGAGGAAAGCCCAGGGCCTATTCCTCTACAGTTCTCTTGCAATTTTTTTTTTTTTTTCCTAACTTCCCCCAGGCAGGTATGTTAATTTCCTTTACATGATTTGCTCATATTTTGGTCAGCAGTAAATGGCAGTCTGAATATTTAGATTCTCTTGTCTTTCAAAACCAGCTCTGCCATCTCAATAATTGCCCTTGGTTCAGCTAGGACAGGGTTAATTCTCTCCAGGAGCTGGGAGGGGGCCACAGCCAGGACTGACAACCACAGCAGCCAATGGGCTATTCAGCACCATACTGAGGTCATGGCCAGTATAGTGTGAGGTGTGGGTGGGGAGAGGAGCACCATTCAGGGAAGCTCCAGCGCTTCTGAGGAGCCAGGCTGGGCCACAGCAGGTGGTCCTGAACTGTGAGCAGCTGTGTTGTACATTACTCCTTTTATATGCTACTAGTATTATTGTTATGACTAGTGTTTATTCTCTCTTTGTTATTAAACTCCCCTTCTCTCAGCTGACTGGGCTCTACATCCCACCACAGGCAGGGAGGAGCAAAGGAGAAGCCACTTACTGCTTAGTTGCCAGCTGAGCCTAAACCACAATAATAATTGAAACAAACTTGGTAACAACTCTGAACAAATTGAAGACAATACCACCAAGCCAAACTCCTCTGCTTAGGGAAACACTTTTTACACCTACTTCACCATTGTGCAGGCCAGAGAGACATCAAGTCTCCACAGTGGCTAGTGGTGTCCCTCAGGGGTCTACATTAGGAGCAGCGCTGTCTGGTATCTTCACCAGTGACACCGGCAGTGGGACAGAGCGTGCCCGCAGCACGCCTGCGGGTGACACTAAGATGAGCTGTGCAGCTGGCACCTGAGGGATGCAGTCCTGTTCAGAGGGACCCGGACAAGACTGAGAAGTGCACACGTGTGAGCTTCATGAAGTTCAGCAAGGCCAAGTGCAAGGTCCTGTACCTGGTCCGGGTCAATTCTTGGTATCAACACAGGCTGGGGGATGAAGGGATTGAGAACAGCTCTACAGAGCAGGAACTGGGGGTACTGCTGGATGAAAATCTCGACATGAGCCAACAATGTGTGCTCACAGCACAGGCGGCCAACAATATCCTAGGCTGCATCAAAACAAGTGTGGCCAGCAGGTTGAGAGAGGGTATTCACCCCTCTGCTCCACTCTGGTGAGACCCCACCTGGAGTACTGTGTCCAGCTCTGGAGACCCTCAGCAAAAGAAGGGCCAGAACCTGTTTGAGCTGGTCCAGAGGAAGGCCACAAAAATTATCAGAGGACCAGAACACCTCTCCTATGATGACTGAAGCTATTGCTAACTTTCCCCCACTAATTTTGATCAAAAAGACTTGTATGCATGTGCAGTTTGGTACATTTACAACTCACAACTGGTCTGAAGATCATACATTTGCAGAGGTTTTAAAACTCAATGAAACACTTACCCAGTTTGTTGAATCCAGCTGCATTGTAATACCACTTCCGAAGCCTGTCTAACAGGCGACCACCTCCTGCAACTGAACGTGAGCATCATCAGTAACTCAACATTCACATGCTGCTATGGCAGCACACAAATATCTGCTGGCTTCTTTCACCTGCAGTAATGCAACACTACATCAAGTTTCAGTCTGAATATATATGACTTGGCCTCTCTGGTTTTCAGTGTCCCCTTAACTGATACCAGGCAGGCAGAATGAATACTTGTTATGTACAATAATTTGACCTCTTTTTCATTAAATTTGAACACTTAGAACAAAGGCTTAGAATAATGCTAACAATTCATTGTCAAAGACAGCACCAACACTTTTCAACTCCGTAACTGTCACTTGAGCTAAATGCATAGTGTTCTACATAGAGCAAAACCATTCTGCTTTTCAAACCGTTTGTCTAAGTTCCACAGCTCTGACTGTGTGATAATGTGATTTCAAGGCCAACATATTGCTGTGTTGTTAACCTTCTGCTCTCCTCTCTAGCTACTTAAATGCTACTTCAGGGACTCCTTTTTCAAAGAGTAGCCAAAGTCAACTGGGAAGTCAACAATAAAACGTCAACAACAAACAAACAAACAAACAAACAAACAAAAAAAACGAAGAAAAACCAAACACCACCCAGCAACTTTTAAAAAAGGGGGGGGGGAATACACTGCATACAGAACATTCATCTTTCCTCAGCTGTGTTTGTGATTAGCACGGGTGTTTTTAAATGCAATCAAATAGAATGCAGTACCAAATAGCACTGAAGTAACTGAACAAGGGATCTAGAAATCCAGGAATAGCACAAGGTAGGCAACACGGCCAGGGAAACCATTTTTCCTGACCGTAAGTCACCCCGGAGCAGCAGCGCTGCGCGTGATGCCGGCACGCCGTCAGCACACCCCCTCAGCAGGCCTCACTGCTTCGTGCTTCGCGACTCGAGGAGAACGGCGCCGGACACACCACGCCCGGAGCCAGTCGGCTCCCGGGCACCACACTGGCCCCCGGGGCCCCACCAGGGCAGCCCAAGGGCTCCTCCCGAGCATCCTCTGCCCCACGGCTCCCAGGAAACCGCGGCCAGGCTCCCCCCGCTGAGGCCCGGCCCGAGGGGCCGTCGAGGAAAGCCACCTGTTC